AAAAGGTACGCCAAATATTTTCGCATATAGTGTTTACCTACTTAGTTAAGATCTTTAAGAATTGATTTACATCAATTGTCGGATTAAAGTACTATTTTCTAAAGTCCAAACTTCGTCATCATTTTTCGGATTTAATTAAATAACTTGTACGTGGACAACCTTATTTTGTTGATTTAAAGTTGCTTATACTTTAAGGGTTACGAAATTTAGACATTGTAGGCAGCTTCTTTACGAAACACATTTATTGGCTAAAATTTTCAATTCTCCTTGATGGATGTCCATGGGAACAGTTGTACACTTGCATTCTGCTGTACTCACGCATATTTAGGCATTGTAGGCGCTCCAAATGCCTTATTTCCTTACTAAATCACTGTAGCATAATTCACGATCGATATATGGCCATTTGACAAGAAGTATGGACTCTAACATCAAATTTACATCATGCGAATTAGGCCACAATTATTCAATTGACAATCGACAATAAGTATATGCTACATGCCTTGAAGCGCATGGTTTATCAATATAGCTACAAAAACATACTTTAATAATTATCGTTCACTACGATATTTTTGAACTGTAAGTTGTCAGTAGTAACGCATATATTCGAAACACACTGTTACTTTTTTTACGTATGTGGTGCCATAAATCTTCTAATTTACCACGTTAACTGTCAACAGCCGTGAAGTTGACAAAATAACGGACGTAGAGAATGTCCTTAGATAATTGTTTAATTGTCGTTCGAAGCGCGACTAATTTTATTTGTTCCGTTCGTATTGTTTCTTACGCGAGCCTAAGAAGTATATTTTCTTTAAAAAGGAATTTCCGAAGTAACGTAAAGTTGTAGTTTATTTTATAATTGAGTTGAGCTCCTTGTGTAAGAGTTCGTCCAGGGTAGTACTGTCACTTTACCTATTTCTGCCACCAAGCAGTAATGTCAGCATTACTGTGTTCCGGTTGTGAAGGGATGCTATATAAGGATGCTGGTGAAATTACAGGCACATGGGTCTTGTCAACTTATGTTCCAGGGCGCAGTGGCAGCGCCCCTCAGATCTTTGCGATTTAAAGCTCTGAGTGGCACTCCAACTGTTATGGACAGGCGTGTAGCTTACCATCAGGCGCACGACTTGCTCGTCCCGTCACTTGATATTATAAAACAAAACGATTCAGGGTGACGTGACGCATGACGGACGCAGGGCGCAGGGCGCAGTGGCAGTGCCACACTCGTCTCGTCATATTACTTGGTAGCATAAAAATAATCTTTTATGAATGTAGTGTTGTTTATATTCATAAAAAGTAAGTTTAAAAAAACATTCATACAAAAAACATCACATGCTTTCTAAAATACCTTTAGTAAAATAAAGTCACATGCGATCATTCATCAAAATTACTTTTATTACATGGAAGTCTTAACAATAATATAAGCTACATAAAACAAAATAAGTGTATCTGACATTTTATAACTCACCTATTTAAGCATAAGAAAGTTAACGACTAATCTCTCTTCAAAAGTTGTTATTTCGCAGATGTAAAGCCTTACACCAAATACACTTGAATTACACGTACATCATTTCAGTTACATGATTGATTGTATTCAGGCAAACATTTTGTGAAGCAAAATATTTTAAAATTTTGCACTGTGCGGAAACAGGTATACGAACTTTATGATCCAAGCCGTACGCCGGCGACTTCAAAGCTACCGGGTATTAACTAGAAAGTATTTTATTGTTTTACTACCCCTTGTAAATGGAGAAAAGCATGTTTGTGTTTTACAACAAGCCGCCTTCTGTTTTGCTATAATATACGTTTGAAATGCCACTGAGGAACAATTGCTGCCGACAAGTTTAAAGGTTTTCTATACAAAAAATATGTGTAGGTAGATAAAATTACGTATGAGAGAATTTTTGGCCATTTGTAAAGATTTTTTTCGAAACTCGACAGATGTTGAATTTTTCGCGCAAACCATAAATTAGAGAAAAAGATCCAAAGTAAACAGAAAAGGCCCGCGGCAAAACCAAATACAATATTCTGAATAAGCCATCGATTGATTTCATAAGATTAATGGTGGTACATTGTCAGCGCCACAGTATGACGAAAATGTTACATTGGATTTGCGCAACCAAACTGTGTTTTATAACATACTATATAAGAGCTTCAGTTTTTAAAGTCTTTTTGAGCTTACACAGCAATGAATGGTGTACCGTGTTTCGGTACTGCATTCATGTAACTGTCAAATCTATTGAATATGTATTAGAGTCTATAATTGCAAACATATACGAAGGTTGGTTACGTTCTTTTGAAATCTTGATGTTGAAAGTTGGGGTCCGATAGAAATTGAATCTGGAATTCTGTGTGAAATTGAAATAAAAGTTTTTTTTTAAGCAACAGTGCACTAAATGCGGTATGGATTATTAAATATTTATTTGTTTGATTTTAAAAGAGTTATAATGTTTGTATTTAGCTTCAGTTTAAATGTTAGGCCATTTGAATGTAATGGATTCGACTCAATAGATTTATAACGTTGCTATATTTTTTACACTTAATTTGTTTAACCAAAGCGCTTATATAGAAAGTACCAATGAATAAAAATCAACTGAAATTAATTTGTTGGTACCAGAACGCTTTAGAAATATTTTCTTCAAATTTAAATGGGGCCAATACTGAGGTACCTACTTTCCAACAAAAAAAGAATCATCAAAATCGGTTCATAAAATATATAATCGCGTAACATACACACAAAAGGAAATACAGTCGAATTGAGAACCTCCTCCTTTTCTTGAAGACGGTTAAAAATAAAGGCATATCCTATGCCTTATTAATCTTTTTCTAATTCTTAAATTTACGACTTACAATAAGCAATTGCCAAATTATCAAAGTGTCTAATTAAACCCTTCAATAACTACATAAAATTAATTATCTACGGACTTCAAAGCAGCGTTTACAATGTCATGGGTGTGCGCTTGTTCAACAGATGTGGTTCGATGGAAGTGTGTACATTGACATCGAATGCATATGTCGCAGTGTAAAAGAAGCTTTGCTATTGGGCGTTCAATAGTGCGAACGTAGCATGACTTCGCACTTTATTGGCATTTTAGGAGTAGGTCCAAAGTATAAAGTGTTTTATGAATGAAACATAGGTGTATATAGTTCGTAGTCATCTTTATTTCTCATTTTAATGCGGCATTGTTTCCACATGGAGATGAGTAGCAACCCAAGTATTATGTAGCAGCGTTACCGTATTCAACAATCGACCTCCCAAGCGTCTTGATTATGGCGATTTCTCGTTCACAGCCGTAGCTCTGGATTAATAAAAATCAATGTGTTTAGTTGTAGTAATGGTTTGTATAAGACCTGCATTGGTATAACCTCCAAAGGCCCCTTACATATAAATGTACATAATAATGTGAAGTGATTTTCACTGTGATCACGTACTTGCTCAGTGTATTTTTTTAATGAAAATTTAACGATACATTTACTAAATACCTTAAGGTCTACCCTAGTCGTCATGTTTCCTTGGGCCGGAAGCATGTAGTTATGTTTAGTACATTTAATGTACGACGGAACATCAAGCTACACATTGACGGGTCTTATTCCTTTGCACTGGAGATGATATTCGCACAAAAGTGTATAAATTGACTTACTGTTGACTGTAGATTGGACGTTTAGCTCTTTTCCCATTGTATTTAGTTTACTAGGTCTTAGAAGGGTAAACCAAGAGGTTGCTGTTATAAAGCTTTTAAATATATTCCGCGGCATCGCATGTCAAGTGCCGTCATGTCTATTTCATATAAAACATTATAGCTACCTTGTTGCCTAATTAACATCTCCCATACGTTTTTCTGTAGTCACAAGGCAGCGTGTTATAATTAATTAGTTGATTTCTAACATTCGTCATTTTGTAGTCACAAAATTGTTAGTGGTCGTCGCACGCGCAGCCTCAGTCCTTGCTATTGTTGCGACCCCTGATTGAACTGTTACACGACTGGATGAGTTATGTTCTGACGCTGGCTGACGATTCTACGGGGGGTTGCCAGTTCTAAATCATTTTATAATTTTAAACAATAAGTATAAAACATTGAAATAAGCAGCAATACTTAAAAACACGATGTGCTTTTGACCTTTAGACTTAACATTTATGTAATTAAAGTATATGCTACTGAGTATAAGAACGCTGACCTAAACTGAAAAAGCCGAGCGTTCTAATGACTGTACATAAATAGTTGTTATTAGTACACACTAAGCTGATAATACTACTACTACCGAAGACTACTAGTATTATAATTTATTTAAAATTATTTGGAGATACACATATAGGTAAATTCTTGCCAATGTTTGAGAATAGATAACGAAAACTAGTCGGGTATACTAAGTCATTGTATAGAAATGCAATTTGGTGATTGTGAAAAGTTAAATATTAAAACCGTAAGGTTTTTACAAAATGTGAAGAAGCCAGTCATGTATTCACAATGATGGAATAAAACAAACGCCCTGTGTAAGCCCAAAAGTCAATGCAACACAGTGACACACATACGCGGCTTTATACTAAACCAATAATAAAATAAAATCAATCTATACCACCCTCTGATGCACACGACACCGAACTAATCAATGATTACCCTGTGCGCACACGCACCCACACATACATGGTATATTGGAAATATTGGCATTGTAAACACTTCTATGATATTTGCAAACCATTTCGCCAAACTCTCAAAATGATTCTATTTCACTCACACTCATGAAATGAAATGGATAGTTTGGAAAAGAGATAAAGATAGCGCAGCCGGTTTTACAACTTCGCAGAGGGACAATGGCGACGCTATTGTTGAATGTACCCCAAAATTTTTTTAGGTCACATAAAAGTATTACAATGGTTAGGGTCGCGCCGACTGCATGCACTTACTGCATTCGTTTCGGAGTCAACCTAAAAGGAACATCTCCCACGCAGTCCAGATTTTTGGAATCCATGTTTTCGGTGATAGTGAAAAATACAGTGTTGAACAATGTCGTCAGTAGCTGCTACTAATCGTGCTAGTGAAATGTGGAATAGTGTGGATGTGAATAACCACAGTGCAAAGGATACTAAACATTACGGCTATAGACAATTCCCCGCGATGCCCCATTACTATAACTACCAAAACAACTTTTACTCTCAAAATTGTGATTATACTAATGCGCCGAATGTTGATTATACTACAAAAGTATATGGGGGTGACATTCACAGTGAAAATTTAATTAAGACTGAACCGGCTCATTGGCAAGGTTATCCTAGTAACTATATCAATGGTAACAATCACCATAATATGGAAATGATTAACAAATGGAGAGAAATTAACTACTACACACAGCAGCAGCATGAGCACTATGCGTATGATCAAAGAATTAGTCAATTATCGAACCAAAATTGCTCGGATCCTAAAAGTGAGGATGCCAGATCCATAAACTCTCCCAGTCAGTGTAGTGTTTCTGATACCAACTACGGATCACCACAAAGCGTTTCGAGTAACGTGAAAGTTACTCCTGAAGATGACGATTCACCAAATCTGAGATCTTTGCTTACGAAACCTCGCATCAAGAAAACATCGGCGTATTTTATAAAATCTGAGAAATTGTACAAGCAAGAAATGATGCAACGGATGATGTATCCCACAGGCGAGATTGAAGATTGGGAAAAAAATAATGAAACTGCAACTGAGACAGAATGCAATTTGTCGCAATTTCATGGTGGATTCGAAAACAGCGTTGAGGGTCAGACGTCAATCAAGAGCAAAGGTACCGTGGGTGGGGCGCCGGCCGCGAACGAAGGCGCACCGTCATCGGCGGATGCCGAACCCTGTCAGGATGTGACGAGGGTCGAAGCAGGCGGGGACAATACGGATTACGCTGAGAACAAAATGGCCGCTGCACCCGATGCACAGGCATACTACCCATGGATGAAAGGCGTTGGTGGTAAGTTGAATAAATACAATAATTTCAATGTTTTTAAAACACTTTTTTTTCAAATTTGTTAACCATATGTGATTATATAATTCCAGGTGATGACAAAAAGGAAGGATCAAAACGAACCAGGCAGACTTACACTCGATTTCAAACATTAGAACTAGAAAAAGAGTTTCATTTTAATAAATACCTATCAAGACGACGGAGAATAGAAGTCTCACATGCATTAGGACTAACAGAGAGGCAGATAAAGATTTGGTTCCAGAATCGCAGAATGAAGGCAAAGAAAGATGGCAAGCTGAATACGTCACCAGATCCATATGGGGTCGAAGAGATGGCCGCTACTAAATTAGGAAATTTACCGGAGTATATGGACACGAGACAGGTGCCAGGGTTAGCTGAATTTCCTAATTACATTAATGGTGCACCAGTTGGTAATATGGGTTCTGTGCCACCTAATGTACAGCAAAATTGTATGATGTCTACTTATAGAATGGTTCCCTAAACGTGTCATTTCTTGTTTTTCGATATTAGTGTAAAGGTTAAAACAATCAAAGTAGATTGTTTTATTGAAATAACTTTTAGCGTTTAACGCTTTTTCGCATTTTTTTGTGTCTCATCAACTTCTACCTCATATTAACCAATATTGCGTTTTAAGACATTTGTATAAAGTGGATTTTGCATGTAGTGTTTTTAAATTCCGATTATTTTGTAACAAATGCATCGTTGTCTTAAGCACCTACACTATATTTAAAATTGTGTATATAATTAATTCTAAGTTTTTTATAATAACATAGTTCCTATAGATAAGTGAAATTGATAATAACACTAATGTTTTTAAGATTGATTATTTATGAATGATATTTTATACTTCTCTAGTCAATGAAGGCGCTAACAATACAGAGGAGTTGGATTCCTGAATAATAATTAATATTTTTGTTTTATTACTTATTATATAATAGTTTCATTACATCTGAAGATTATTAGATGTGTGATACCTAAGTAAGAAGAATAGTTTATTATTTAACTTACTATTGATTAATGATTTAGTTTATGACACATCTGTAGAAACTTACGGATAAACATCCAATCCAGTATATTCTCTATCATATGGTTACACATAACACAATATGTTTACAAGATAATAAAAAACATTCATATGTATTGAAAATAAAAAGTCTACAAAACCTACGGGGTCGTGCAGAATACCCTCAAATCGACTCTACCCTTTTTGGTTTCGGAGAGTAAGCAAATTTTTAAAAGGAAATGACACGCATCAAAGCGAATTCGGAGCGGATTGCACGGACTCAAATTCACTGTCACTGACACTGTCTCTAGTACAAATCTCATTACATACTTTGTCCTAGTAAACAAAGTCATAATAATAACTATCCTAATCCTTACAAACTCAAAAACAATTACAAACTAAAATCTGTCAGTCAAAAAAGCAAATCGGCTTAAAATTCAACACCCTTCCACATTTACGAATAGTGAGAACAATGTTTAACCCTTTCCACACTGCATAGTTTAAAAGGGCCCGACAACGACGCTTAAATACTTTTAACTATTATCTAGGGACTGTAAAATGTGCAAATGTTGACGGGAGTTTTGACGTATTTTGACGCCGATATGGTAGTAAAGAGATTTGCTGAGTAATCCTTTGGGATTTTGCTACCTGAATGACTTCTTGTTTGTTATGGTAATAAAGTGTTGTCAGATTTAGGTACTTCAACACGCAGTGAATTTAGATTTTGATTACTTGCACGTACGTTTACAATTATTGATAATTTTATGAATAAGGTAAACACTGAATAATTCTGACAAATAAATATTTTAACGTGTTAATTAAAAGATGTCAAATCACAAAAAATATTGTTTTCAGATTTGGCCACTTCAATATGCAGTGAATTTTGATTTTTATTACTTGTACATACGTTTACAATTATTGATATTTTTATGAATAAAGTAAAGACTAAATAATTCTGACAAATAAATATTTTAAAGTGTTAATTAAAAGATATCATATCACAAAAAAATATTGTTTTCAGATTTAGACATTTAAATACGCAGTGAATTTAGATTTTGGTTACTTGTACGTACGTTTACAATTATTGATAATTTTATAAATAAGTAAAAACTGATAATTCTGACAAATAAATATTTTAACGTGTTAATTAAAGATATCAAAACACAAAAAATATGATTGCCTAGTGGTTGTGAGGTAGATTGGTTTTTATATGGGATTTATATTTCATAGCTAGCGAAAATATATAATTAAAAAGAGTGTCTCCTTTAAAATTTCAAATGTTAATCTCTACAAAATCACGGCCTTGACAGACCCCAGCAATACAAACTCGACCCTCTAGCCTTTTCTATAGGGAAACACAAAAGAACACAAATGAAAGGGACAGCAATATTCATAGAACTGCAGGCAAGAGAGAAAGACAAATCATCCCTTTAATCAAGGATGAGTCAGTAGGGCGCATGCGAAATAGATGCCAAGATGGCTGCTAGTGTTTTGGTCAAATTTTGATTACGTTTACTCAAAAATGTGATTTCTGTGTTAATTTAAAGACAAATTAGTTAAAAAAATTGTAGTTTGAAAAGTCTTTAGAGTTCTTTGAAATAATGTTAATAAATAATAATAAAAAAGGTAATTCGGTAAGTGTATGCATTGTTTCTTCAGCTTGTATAGAAATAAATACTTTTGTTTGGAAAGGTGTTGAAGGATTAAATACGATTGATTGATTTAAAATGCAATAATAAATAAAACTATCATATAATTATAATCGTAAATAAAAATCAAGTGCTGTCAGATTCAAAAATTAAATTGAATAATAACGTTTTTATAGTATCTAATAAACATTATACAATTTATTTGAATTAAATTGCAGTAAAACGTAGCAAAATTTAAGACATATTCTTTAGTTTCAGTAGAAAAACACCTTTTAATAGCAACAACCTCGTCCAATGCAAAAGGAGATGTGGCATTTTGTTTTAACGTCATATTTCTGTGTAAACTTTAAATCTTCATTTCTATGTCAGTGTAGTAACGGGACGAACAAGTCATGCGCCTGATGGTAAAGTACACGCCTGTCCATAACAGTTGCAGTGCCACTCAGAGCTTTAAATCGCAAAGATCTGAGGGGCACTGCCACTGCGCCCGTCACCCTGAGACATACGTTGACGACAAGTCCCATGTGCCTGTAAATTCACCAGCACCCTTACCCTTCAAAACCGGAACACAGTAATGCTGACATTACTGCTTGGCGGCAGAAATTGGTAAGGTGGCAGTACTTCCTTCGATTACATATACATATTTTGTATATGTATGTAATCGATTTGTAAGAGATGTGTGTAGGAACGTAGCTACCTGTATAGACGTAACATTAATTTAATACAAAAAACAACAATAAAGTCTGTGTTCTTAAAGGCATACATTTACAGTCACTATTCATTAAGGGGCAAAGTTTTTTTTTTTACTTTGTCACTTTAATGTTGGCCGCCGATGGCTTTGACTGTGACACCGGATGATTGGTAGAGCTGAAGGCTCATAACCCGTAAAGAAAACTAAGTAGCGTGCCTGAGGGTGCCCAAGTAGGCACGGACCTCAGCTAGGGGGCAATATGTGTATACGCTTTTATATTTTATAAATATTAATGCCAACATAATATGGGGACACAATTGTGCTAGTTAGCCTAGCCTGGTTAATATTTAATAATTAACAGTGATTTTGTCTTTTAAGTAAAAGCTTACTTCAACTATCAAAGGATAATCGAACTTATTAGCTAGATAACGTTTATTCAGCACAAATACAAACAGAAACAAAACATTTACAATCACTTCACAGAGTATAACATAAAAGCACATAGAACATTCGTTATTAATTTTATACACATTTATTTAAAACACATACTGCGAGAAAAACAAACAAAAACTATAAGAATTAAATCTTACAAAGAAGCAGTTCATAAGTTTCGACCTTTGTGGTAGGCCCCGCCGACCACTTATATTCAGCGTAGACGGTGTGCGTATAGAGCAAGTGCAGGTGGTATCCTTCCTTCGTTTCCTGGTAGATCAAGCATTGACTTGATTGGAGCAACACATTGACCATCTTTGTGTAAAACTGGCGAAGGCATGCTTTGCTCTAAGTCGTCTCTCTGCGACACTTACAAAAGCCAGAGTTCGTCATGCTGTTTTGCCTCCGTACAATCGGTACATATTCTAATATGGCATAGAATTCAGGGGAAATGCGGTGGATTGGGAACGTGCTATCCGGCTGCAGAGACGTGCAATATGAGCCGTGGCGCGTATTTCTAATGATGAGTGCACACGGTCGTACTTTGCGTCCTTAAGGATACTGACGCTTCCCTGTCTGCTGATACTCCGGATAGCCATGTATGCACGTAACCACTTGTATCAGTTCGCACAGAGATGCAATAATGAGCGGTTCACACTGCGATACGGAGGCCGCCTCCGCAGCGATCTTCACCGGCTGAAGAAGGCGACGCGGACCATTCATGCAATGAGCCATCGCGTATACAGTCACCTACCTGACGATGTCACTAGCGCTCCGAGCACGACTTCCTTTCGCTTTAGGCTAAAAATGTGGCTAATCCAGCGCTCATTTTTTAATTTATCGGAATTTTTTAATTTTAAATAATATTATTTTATTGTATGTAGGTTACTATATTTCTTTAATATCAGTTTATAATGCAATTCATTTAAAATACATTTGTTTAGTTAATATTCTCTTTGACATTTAAGGTACTAAATTGACATGTAATGGAAATTATGAATAAATTGTATATATATCAAGTAAAAGTGTAAAATGTCAAGCAAATAATGTAAATAGTATAGTGTAAGTACCTTCATTATGTAAGCAATATAAACAATAATGTAAGTTTAAAACGTTTAACTCGTTTTTTATTATTGATGTCACGCAATGGAGGAGGAATATCATTCCAGCACTTACTAGCGCGATACCTGAAATCGCGAAAAGCAGTCGCTCTATGTTTTGGGATGTTAATAACATTTTTGTAAACTAATCGAAACTTATTCCCCCTTACACTTTGTGACCAATAGATAGGGCATGATATGTGTGCGAGGAGGAATTCGAAAACAATAGCGAGTACAAAAATTTTGCCGTTAGAAGAACACCAAGCAGAAATACGACTTAAATCATCATTTAACCCACCAAGTAAGTCACCAGTATAGCCTGAAATGTAAATTTGTAAATCGTCAGCATATAAGTGAAACCGGCAATTCAAAATAGATTTAGCCAAATTTCTTTAAAAAACTTCTGTACAAAATGAAAAGTAAAGGTCCAAGAATGGAGCCTTGCGGGACGCCTTTCCGGGTTGTCTTGAGGCCCGATTCGATGTTGGTACTATCAGAGTTTTGTATGACTACCTTTTAATAACGTCCATTAACTGTCATTATTATTATTAGCTATCATCTTCAAGATGTTATTTCTGCTACTCCGCATTCTGTCTATAAGTGAAG